GTGGAGCTGTGGTTTTCTTGCGTCTGGCGTTTGCCCCCTGGTGGATGAGGCTGGTCTGGATGCTAGAGCCGGCTTCCTGAAGGGCAGGGTTGAGGCCCAGGGGATTCTGGGGCTGGTGCCTGCCGATTGGTGGCTGAGCTGGTTCCTGAGCACTCTGGTGGGAGGGCCTTGTCCAGGGGCGGCTGTGGGCTCGGGAGGTCTCAAGGCAGCCTCTCTGCTGATGGGTGGGCCTGTGTCCCCACTCAGTTGCTTGAGGCGTCTCAGCAGTGGTGCCTACAAGCTATTGGGCCAGGGCAGGGCTGTGTCCTGGGGCTAATAAGCTAGAGGAAGGGTTCCACAGTGGCCCTTCCCAGCACCAGTGTCCATGTGGTAGAAGGAGTGAGCTTCCAAGAATGGCTGCCGCCAGCGCCTGTGTCCCCAGGGTGAGCTGCAGTGGCTTCTTGCCTCTCCAAGATCAGCAGGCCAGTCTGACCCAGGCTCCTGTCAAATTACTGCCCCTGCCCTGGGTCCTGGAGCGTGTAAGATTCTGTGTGTGCCCTTTAAGCATGAAGTCTATTTCCCTCAGCCCTCTGGCCCCCCCAAAAGTAAGTCCTTGTGGCCTTCCAAGCCAAGTGCTCTGGGGGCTTGTCTTCCCAGTTCAGGACTCCTGGGCTGGGGAGCCTGACATGGGGCTCAAACCCCTCCCTCCTTTGAGAGAACCTCTGCAATGTAATTATTCTCAAGTTTTGGGGCCCTGGAGGTATGGGACTTGACTATATCGCAAGTCCGTCCCTCCTACCTATCTCGTGGTTCCTTCTTTGTCTTCAATTGTGGAAGATCTTTTCTGAAAGGTTCCAGTCTTTTTCACGGATGGTTGTTCTGCCAATGGTTGTGATTTTGGTGTGCTCGTAAGAGGAGGTGAGCTCAGTCGCATTCTACTCCACCATCTTGGCCAATCCAGGAATTTTGTAATGCTGAGCCAGCATCCTTCCAGAGCCATTTCCCAGACAGTTAAATACAGCCACGCCCAGTCCTCTGGGCCGGAGCCTGAGCTAATTAGGGAGTCTTAGTTTTGGAGCTGCTTTTCTCCTGTAATATGTCATTTTTAATATGTCATAGTTTAGATAATTGTCTTGTCCAAGCATCCGGATCAGTTGTGGCAGAACTTACTGAAATGATGTAGCACATTTTTGGGGGGCAAGAAAGAAAATTTCTTATAGTTTCACCCATTGGCAGGTGACTTATTCCATGAAAGACATGTTAAAATTGTCTTTAAAAAGTTTATACAGGGCTTCCCTGGTGGTGCAGCGGTTAAGAATCTGCCTGCCAACACAGGGAACACGGGTTTGATTCCTGGTCCGGGAAGATCCCATGTGCCACGGAGCAACTAAGCCCGTGCACCACAACTACTGAGCCTGCGCTCTAGAGCCCTTACTCCACAACAAGAGAAGCCATCGTGATGAGAAGCCCGTGCACCACAACAAAGAGTAGCCCCCACTCACGGCAACTAGAGAAAGCTAGTGCAGCAACAAACACCCAATGCAGCCAAAAATAAATAAATTATAATAAAAAAAGAACAACTCGGGGCTTCCCTGGTGGCGCAGTGGTTGAGAGTCTGCCTGACAATGCAGGGGACAGTGGTTCATGCCCCGATCCGGGAAGATCCCACATGCCGCAGAGTGGCTGGGCCCGTGAGCCATGGCCGCTGAACCTGCGCGTCCGGAGCCTGTGCTCCGCAATGGGAGAGGCCACAACAGTGAGAGGCCCGCGTACCGCAAAAAAAAAAGAACAACTCTTAGTCATTCTAATAAAGAGATGGGATTAGGTCCTTCATTTGTTCAAATCTTTTCTTTCAAGCTCTTATCCTCATATTAGACACATTATCCTATTTTTTCACAGAAAAATGTTTTATTCCAAGGCATTTATTTACAGCATCATTAACAAATAAGGTATTGTATAGAAATGAATTTTCCAAGCACCTAATATTCTCTCTTAAACACTAAAACTTTTTATCTTAGCCTAAAATGTATCTTATATATTTGTACCTTTTTAAAGGTTAGAAATATAATAGCTAAGGCAGAAAAATATGATTTATAAGGTAGAAGAATAATAGCTGTCATTTCTTGAGGTCCCCATGTGCTAATAACTCCCGTCAGTCTTTGGAGTAAGACCTGTACAGGTGAGGAATCTGAGCCCAGCTAGCGATGCATCCAAGGCAGCGTACAGGCCCCATTTCCTGTCTCAGCCCCTCACACTACACATTGGCTGTGTGCAGTGAGGCGCTTAGAGTCCCTGAGTTGCCTACTGCTATTTAGACTCAAATAGTGTGTTCCTGACTTTTCATTTTTCTTTTAAAATGGCTTCTCTATCTCTTCTCTGTCAGGCAAATGGCTTTTCTATCTCTTCTCTGTCAAGCATCACATGTGCCTATTTTTATGCCTCTCCTCTCTTTAGCTGGGCTAGAAAATCAAATTATGGAACTGAAAATAATCACTTTTAAAATAAATAAAAATGAAGGTATTAATACTCTTCCACACTTATTTTACCCACCAGACAATAACATTGCTTCATTTAGTTTTTTCATCGATCACGTGGTGTGATTTTTTTAATGTTCTGGAAAAGTGAACGCCTGATAATTAACCCATGACCTTGTTGACAGTGCTTTAAGACATAAAAGAACAAGAACTTCAAGACATTTGACTAAGCTGTTTTTCACATTAACAAGTTTAATATCAATGTTTAGTCTTCAGAAAGTGTCAAAAAAAAGGGGGGGTAGTGTGTAATTGTACTGCCAAGCATTTTTCTGATATGACTCTAGTATCTCATAATAATGCCTAGTTTCCTAAAAAGTCAGCCTTCTTGCCACCTTTAAAGTGACTGTGCTGTCATCTTTGAAGAAAAACAGAGTGTAACGGTCACCAGTTGCTTTAGGTCATGGTCATCCATCAATTAGACCCGTGCTCTGGAGCAAAATGTAACCCTTCCTATGACCAGGACCACGCTTATGGGTGGAGTGTTCAGTTAGGGTTAGGTTCACTGACATTTGGAGATTAGTTAATACTGCTTTGTTTTGGATGTAATTCTATGTGTATTTTAAACAAAACATGCTGAGTAATGTGTAGGAAGATAGATATTCTTTACGCTGTACTTTTCTTTCATATAAAATCATGAGCGATTTAACAAGTGTATGTCATTCACTGTCTTGAAATTGGTATTATAAAATTGTATTTAAAGAATAATTCCATCCACCGCGAATTCTGAAGTTCTGCCATTTCTCACCGTCAGCCCCTTGTGCCCCTCCCTCCCACCCTCAGGATATAATAAACCATCTTCTCCGACAACCACATTTTCCTTTTCTTTGTCACAATAAGAGCTTTTGATCAGCAGAACTAGGCTTTCAATACCGAGTTGACTGGAGACAGGAAAGGAAACTGGATCTAGTGTGTGTGCAACTTCAGCATAGTTTGTTCCTATAGGATTCCTTTAGACTTTATTTGAAATAATGAAAACTGCTCCTGGCCTCCTTTCTGGGGTTTTAGAGAACTCAGGTTTGGAACTGCTCTTTTGAGTCTTTCAGCCCATTTAAAATGACACATTTCAATTGTGTTCATAGGTAGTGAGTGGTTCAGGGATAAAGGACTGGATTGAGTTAAACCTGGATTTACTCCCAGCGGCTGCCCGATTCCCTTAATCTCTTAATTAATGCCTCAGTTACTCTATTCTCCAGTTTCTTTGTTGGTACTTAAAGTTCTGGGAAGGAAGGTGCTACGAATGAAAAACATAGCCAACACGAATAAGTTGAAAATATGAAAAAACGTGGCATTTAAAAATTAACCTCTATATGAATTATTCTAACCAAAAGTGTTTCTGCCTGAATGTTTGTAAAAGAATAACATGGCTGCTGTCCCATTGAGCGCCTCAGAAAGTTGAGCGAAAATTATATTGGAAAACATTAAGGCCCTGTTTTTTTTTTTTACATCTTTATTGGAGTATAATTGATTTACAATGATGTGTTAGTTTCTGCTTGTAACAAAGTGAATCAGTTATACATATACATATGTTCCCATATCTCTTCCCTCTTGCGTCTCCCTCCCACCCTCCCTATCCCACCCCTCTAGGTGGTCACAAAGCACCGAGCTGATCTCCCTGCGCTATGCGGCTGCTTCCCACTAGCTATCTGTTTTACGTTTGGTAGTGTATATATGTCCATGCCATAAATGCTGGAGAGGGTGTGGAGATAAGGCCCTATTTTGAGTGCCGTGAGTCTGAGCTACTCCAGTCCTTGCCACCTGAGTCCTAAGGACCGTCGAAGTGAGCCTTCTTTCTCTGCGGACAATTTCTTCTCTCAACTCTGGGGCATTTATTCTAATCCGTAGAGGAAAGCCATGTACTGATTTGTGCTGTTTGTCAATCGCTTGCTTTTTCCTGAATGTAATTGCTACTCTCTGATGAAACGTTCAGATTCCTTGGAAAAGAATAAATAGCTGTAAACACTTTATTAAGCATGTGTATGTCATTCTCTGGGATGTTTAGCCAAACGGCCAGCTCTTCTCGGTGGGAAAGAGATCCAGCCCTGCACAGCCCAATTCAAGGCTCCCGCTTGAGCCAAGTCCTCAGGTCCCGAATTTCTCGCTGACCCGCTCCTGGGCGAGGCCGCCAAGCCCCCGTCCACCCCCAGACCCTTCTAAGTCGGGCTGCACGGAGACCAGGGCGTCGGCCCCGAACTGGCCGCTGCTCTCGGGGCCGCCCCCGCAGGGCCAGGGCCCGGGCCCGCCCTCGGCAACCCAGCTCCAGCTGCAGGTCCTGGCCCCGCATACGCCCCCCCACCCCCGCCCCCACGTCCAGGAGCCAAACGTCCCTCCCCACGCGCGTCCCCGGGGCCCGGACTGGCGCGGCAACGGAAGTCGGAGTACGAGAGAGGGATGCGGAACTGCAGCCAGGGACGGGGGAGGGGGCGTGCGGCCTCTGAACAGTGGGGACTGGGTGGGGCAGCCCAGTCCTCGCGAGATTTCGGCCTTGACGAGAGGCTGCAGCGGCTCGGCGGCGGGTCTGGGATGCGCTCGGAGAAGGAGGGAGAGGGGGGCCCAGTGTTGCCCGTTACTACGCGGGGTCCGAGCGGGAAGGAGAAGCCGTCGCCCACAGAAAGCCACTTCCGCCGGGAGTCTCAGCGGCGGGAGCCTGAAGCGCCAGTAGCCTGGTCCTCCGGCTGTGGGGGCGGTGCAGTCGAACCTCGCGAGGAAAAGAGGACGGTCCTCAGCAAGGTGGGGGCGGGGCGGTGTGAGGGGCGGGGCCGAAGGTGCGGTATCCCTGCGCTCCGGGGCGGAGCCGCGGGCGCTTCAGCACCGCGGACAGCGGCCGGGCTGCGCTGACCCCGCGGCGTCTGGGCTGCTAGGGCGCCCTTGACGCGATCTTTTCTGGCTTTGGAGGAAGAAAAGTCACTTCAGCCTGTAGGTGTTTCCCGTCGAGGCTGGGACGCTGGGCTTACCAGTGCTGGGCAGTAGTCTTCCACGTTGCCGAGGGTCAGGTCCGGTCCAGGGGAGACGGCGCAGCCGGGAGAGCAGAGCCCGTGGCGCTGGAGTGGACGCGGGTGGACCCTGCGGGCGGGAGGCGGAAGGTGCTGCTGTGGATGTTGCCCTGCATGTACCTTACCTCCTGGTAGGGAGCGTGGAGGCGGGCACATACCAACAGTTATCTGGTTTTAATGAAAAAATTTTATGAAAAACGGCTGCTATGCCCAGCCTTTTCTGACCCCACCGATCCCTTTTACATTATTCAGCCCTTGTTATTCTTTTGACAGCCATGTTCTCCATGCATATGTTCCTTAATCTTTACTAAAATACGTGTTTCTGCTGGACTCCTGGGTTAGATTTTACTCTGAGCATAAACACAGGTGACCAAGCTCTCAGGTAAGCTTAATACAGTACTAGTGAAAGGAAACCCAGCCAGCGTTTCTCCCCAGGTGGTCATCCGGCGGCTTCCTCCCAGCCTCACCAAGGAGCAGCTGGAACAGCAGCTTCACCCCCTTCCTGCACATGATTACTTCGGGCTCTTTACTGCTGATCTCAGGTGAGAAGATTTTACCAACGTTAAGAGGCTGAGAGGGAGTTCCCTGGTGGCCTAATGGTTAGGACTCGGAGCCCGGGTTCAACCCCTGGTCGGGGAACTAAGGTCCCACCAGCTGTGCGGCATGGCCAAAAAATAAAGAAGGCTGAGGGGTTTTGTCAGTTGATGGTAAAGGAATATAGATAATAGAAGCCATCTCTGTTTCCATCTTCGTTCCCACATATATGCGGAAATCAGTGCAGGCCTTTATTTCTGCAAGTTATTTCTAAGTAGGCAGATAATTAAATTTCCCTAAAATAGATTTGAAGATCTCCACCACCATAGCCTAAAAAGGAAAACAGTCTAACAACGTATTAATTTTTTTATTTTGGATATCACTAAACCTTGTTTCATATAACCTTTTAAAGTAAATTGTATTAAGATATAAGAAAGAAAAGTGAATAAATAATAGATGTATAACCTAATGAATTTTTACAGGTGAACACACCCATGTAACTAAGACCAGATAAACAGGCAGAATATTCCAGACCCCAGCAGCCCCTAGTGTTCCCTTCTATCACTGACATCCCCACCCTCAACCCACGCCCGCTAAGTTATATCTTTTTCAGTTACCTTTTGCAGCTTGGTAGGAAGATGTTTCTGACAATAATTTAACACTTCAAAATCTCCTTTTTATTAAAAAGGAGAGCAGACCTCAAGTTAGCCCAACAGATGACAGTTCAGCTAGAATTTGGTGATTTTCACTATGTGATTTCTTATTATCTTTATTATTCTTTTTCTCTTCAATATCATGAGTTCTCATTTATGGTAGCCATTATAAACTTTCCTTTTGAATAAATACATTTAAGTAAAAAAATGTCAGTTCAGTCAAAGAAAAATATCAAAGGTAAATGTAGATTTGGTTAAAAAAAACAGCATAAACATGATTTTTTGAAATGACTAAAGTTTAGGAAAACTAGTACAGTTACAGGAGGTCAGGCACTGGACTCAGAGTGACTCAGATTGCAATCCCAGTCCCACCATTTTACTAACTGCTCCCTCTGTGAGCACCTAATTTCTCTGAGCCTCAGTGTTCTCATCTGTGAAATGGGGTTGAAAGTTCCCACCTATGAAGGACATTGGTAGCTGTGAGCTAGAGGGGAAAGGCTTAGTTCTTCTGTAGATCCTATGCCATGTGCTACAATAAATACCCTTTTAAGATACCTAAATGTGTTCTCTAAATCAGTAAAGGAGCTCATTTACAATACAACATTTCCTTCTCTGAATGAATCGTGACTAGGTTGTATTGCAATCATGATACGTGATTAGGGGTGATCTTTGAATAACCTTGCCTTTGATTTTCTACCTCTGAGCACCAGTATTTTAACCCTGGCTCTGTGCAGTAGAGAAACCAACCTAAAGTGTCTCTCCCAAATCATTAAAAAGATCTCGGTTAATATTTTGTTCGTTTTTGGTTTATTTGCTAAAGAATATCCAGATTGCTGTAATTAACTGACAAATGGTTCTTTGGCATAAAGGTTTTATCTGAAGTAGTTTGTTGTATCCAGAAAAGAAGAAAAAAAAAAAAGACAAAATTAAAAGAAGTCTTAAGTTTTTTACTGTTTTCATTGTTATCTCTTCTTTCAGTCTTTATCCTCATCTCTATTCAAGAGCATACATTAATTTTAGAAATCCTGATGACATCCTGCTTTTTAGAGATCGTTTTGATGGATATATCTTCATTGACAGTAAAGGTTGGGTCATTGGCTTTTTAAACTCTTTATTGTAATTTCTAAGTACATTAATTAAGTTTTGCTGGATGTTTGTGAATTTTAATTGAGTCCTTAGATGCTAATCTAAAATAAATTCATAAATTTTGAGTATGTTATTGTGATTATGGGTTTATGTTAAAAATTAAAATTACATATAAACCAAAGAATTAATAGCAATTTTGTGTAGTGGTGACAACCTAGTTAGGTATCATCATCAGAGAGTGAAGTTTTTCACATAAATGAGTTTTCTGGATAAGTGAACTTTTTACTTTTTTACGTTCCCAAAGTAAATTATTTTATCCTGGTACTATGTACTAGGCATCACGGATGCAGCACTGAAAATGAAGCAGACATTGTCCCTGTCTGTCTGAAGCCCTGCTCTCCTCCTGGTTCTTGACTTTATTCTGAGTAGTTGAGGATAAAATAAATACTCAAAAGTGTCTTCCAGATACATGAGAGTTAAAGTATCATAGCCCTCTGGCAAATGTGAAAGCGATCCCTCAGCGGGTTTGGCAGCAGGGTGGAAGCGTTCCCTCTCTCCGTGAGGCAGATGCTGTCCGCGAGCGTTTCTGTGTGTCTGTTCCCCGCCACCCCTACATAACAGCAGAGTCAGCTTCAAGTGACTTTCATTCTAGATTTTTCTATTTGAAGCAAATCTTACCTGGATATCATGAACACCCTTTGAAACCCTCTCTTTTAGCTGAGTGTCTCTTGTAAACAGAGTCATTTCCTTGAACTCATATACCAGATTGATAATTGAATTAACCCTTTAAAATTAAAAAATGTAAGATGTTACTAGGACACCTATTGAAAGGTATTCCAAAATAAACTCTTTGGTGGGAGAGTGATAAGGCTTATTGAGGTAGAAATTACATATGGTAAAAAAACCCACTTTAAGGTATACAGTTTAATGAATTTTGAATGTATTCAGTCATGTAACCACAACTACAATATGAGGAATTGTGTTATTTAGTAAATAAGTGCTCATCCTTTGTTTAAATCTGGAGTTTGATGTGCTAAGATTACTGTTACTTGAAAGTATAATTATATTTTAAACAGTAATATTGTCAATGCTATGCTCAGTGCTTAAGTAATCTAGACTATTGTTTTAAAATGAATACAGAATTTCAGAATGACTTTTGTAATTTGTTTCCTGTTAAAGGCCTAGAATATCCTGCAGTGGTAGAATTTGCTCCATTCCAGAAGACAGCCAAAAAGAAGCTAAAGAAAAAAGACACCCAAGCTGGAAGCATTGAAGATGGTGAGTCCTTTTTCAAATGCTGGATTGTGAAACTGCATTAAACACATTGGTCAAATTAAACACATTGGTCAAATATAATTTCTCTCCCTATATGGGGAAGAATATATTTATTTTCTTTCTATCTTAATTTACAGATCCAGAATATAAGAAGTTTTTAGAAACTTACTGTGTGGAGGAGGAGAAAACTAGTGCCAATCCTGAAACTCTTCTGGGGGACATAGAGGCAAAGACAAGAGAACTTATTGGTCTGTTTTGCTCATTTTTTTCCTCTTTATTGAGATATGTATTTATAGAGTATATATTTGTTTTTCCTTTTTCATGATTATTATAGAAAATTGACACATGTGACAGGCTTGGCAGAAATACAGAGTATTTCCCAGTTTTGACAAAAGGAAAAGGGCAGCAGGATGGTAACTTGGGAAAATATTTCTGAGCATCTGTTGATGGAGGGAGAACACCTGAGTTTTCCGTTACAGTCACTTTGTTTCAAAGTTATGACGCTTCTGAATGAGCAGTAGAGAAGACATTGGAGTGCTGTGTGCCGGGCTGCATCAGGTAAACTTATGTCTCAAAGTTGAAGTCAGTCATCTTTGCAAAGAGCAGTCATAGAAAGGAGATGCTTTGCTTAAGTATGAGGTCATCTTGCTGTTGTTCAAAAAACTATCAAGGCCCCTGAGCGAGTGAGGCAGATGAGTGGATAAGCCCAGCCAGAGCACAGAATCTGGTTTGAATCAGGCCTTCAACCCTCTACCCCCAAGTGGAATATTTTGGAAACGGCTCTCTCCTAGCAGCATTCCCCCAGAACTCAAGAGTAGACGTGAAACTCCTTTCTCTATCAGGCAACCTGCTTGTCTCTCCCAAACATGCTTGTAAGTGTCTCCCTTCCTGCCTCTGCCGGGGCTGGGGCCTCACCGTGCAGCCCGGTGCCCCTCCCACCTGTTCTGCCCTCCCTTCCCCATGCCTACCTCCTGCTCACCCACCAAGACTTACAGGACAGAATGGTTACACTGTTGATAATTTATCTTCTTATTTGTCTGTCTCTCTCTGCATTAACTCTCCTCTCACTTTGTCTCTCCACCCCTCAAGAGAACTGTATTTTTGTCTCTGTAGTCTTAGCATGTAATTGCTTGAGCAAGTTTAGGTATTTGGTAAATATGTGTTGAGTAAATTAATAAAAAAAGGTTAACATTATTGAAGCATTCTTCGTTAGTCTAATAATGAAGTTTTATATTTTATAAGAGGTGATTTAATGTGTGGCTCAAAGGATCTTTAATCACTGAAGTATTTATGGAGATGTGCTTAGCACATGTTGACTGGGTACCGACTCTGAGCCTGGGCACGGGGACAGCACTGGAACAGGACACACAGGCTTCTGCCCTCATGCAGCTGCCCTCCTACTGGGGTGACTGTAGCAAACACATGCAGAAATGCTCAAGCCAGAGTATTTCCACTTGTGATAAGTGCCACAGACGTAATGGAATAGAATAATGGGATAGAGAGAGAGAACCCTCTGAGACTGTATTTGAGCCGAGACCAGCTGGGCCAAGAGATGGAAGAAGGGGGAACTCCAAACACAAGGGCTGGAGGCTGGAGCTCTGGGCCTGCAGGAGCGGGGCGCACGCCTGTGTGCTTGGCACATGGTGGGCAAGGAGCAGAGTAGCTGGAGAGGTGGGACCACAGCATGATGGGCTGGATTTTATTTGAGGGACAGCTGGGGACCGAGGGAGTGATGTGGTCTGATTGATTTTTTTCCCCGTCACTCTGGTTGCTCCATAAGATGGAGAAGCTGGGCTCTGGTTAGGAGGCCCTCACTGTCGTCAGGGAAGGCTGCTTGAACGAGGGCGGCAGAGTCAGCATGTGTTCTGGAGGTTGAACTGACCAGACTGGCTGAGGATTGGGTGTGAGGGTAAGAAAGCAGAAAGGATCAAAGCCTCCAGGAGCCTGACTTGAGCAGATCAGTGGGTTATGGCTCCAGGACTGACGTGGGGAGGAAACAGTATTGAGGGCAAATCGTGATTTCACTGTAGAACATAAATTTCAGAAGAGTTAAACGAAGCAGCAAATTAGAAATTATTTACAGAACTCACCCTCCTCGTCCTGTTTCTTTACTGCTTCTTCTTAAATGCCCTTGTACAGGGCCGCTGCAGGGAAGTAGCAAGATCTTTCACTTCTGGGCAGTTGTTAGATATCCACTTGCTGATCACACACACATCTCCCACCAGAGTCCAGCCACCCTCCTGCAGAGGAGGGACGAGCCTGTCCTCTCCCGTTCCCAGCATCTCGCCCAGTGCTTGGTGCACAGTAGGTGCACCGTAATTATTTACTGAATGAATAAATGTGACTTAGAATCCACTAGCCCAGGACGAGCCTGTAGAACTTTGTGATTCCTCTTTCTGCCTATTTAAATTTTGTCTTAATCAGGCAATTCATGGCAAATGCCTTTTTCTTTTCTTAGATTTTGACCTTTAGTGGATTCTTATGGTCAAGGCTGAGCAGTGTGGGTTAAATGCAAATGTTAGTTCACTCTGAAGTTACAGATTAGTGCAGGCATATCAGGGTCTTCAGAGCGCGGTCCCAGCTCTGAGACTTAGCAGCCGTGGGACCGGCTTCCTCATACGTGGTTGTCGCCAAGCCTAGTAAGCGAGAACGGTTCTACTGTCGGTTAAATCAGTGTTGTACTGCGTGGTTGTGCATCTTGTATTTAGTAAATGATACACTTTTATGGCTTGTAAAGCACTTTCTTATACAGGGTCCTATTTACCCACCACATCAGTCCTTTGGGGGAGCAAGGCGGGTGTTTGTAAGGAAGGAGGGAAGGCGGGTGGAGCCTCAGCATTGGCTCCCCAGCCCCACCCGGGTAGGTCTCAGCTCTGCCCTAGTTGACAAGCCCAGAACCACCGCTGTACAGGGCAGAGTCCTCACTCCTCTCCAGCCCCGCCCTGACCCCATGGGTACCAACATCTGTGGGTGCTTAAGTCCCCTCTGTAAAAGGGCATTATATTTGCACGCAGCTTACCCACATCCTACTGTATACGGTAAGTCATGTCCAGATTACTTGTAGTACCTGATACACTGTGAATGCTATGGAAATAGTTGCCACTGAGTTGCAAAGTCAAAGTTTTGCTTTTTAGAACTTTCTGGAATTTTTTTTCCCATATATTTTTGATCCACAATTGGTTGAATCTGCGGATGTGGAACCAGTGGATACGGAGGGCCGTCTGTATATAAATACGTTATAACGTTTGGGAAGTTTAATGTATTGTTTTCATTTTGCTTTTTTGCTTTATACATTTTTGTGAGTAATGTATGGGACTCCCTTAAGACTCAGGAATTAAATGCCTAGTGTGTATAAGTCTGTCAGTGCCTCCAAATTACTTGACTTTATAGTGATAGAGTAGGAAAGTTTTAAAATGATATAGCCTTCCCTTAATTATTTTAAAGATTAAATTGAAAGCAAGTATTTAAAATAAAGAAATCTTAGTTTAGAGTTAAACACTACATTGCAATTTTTGTATTTTAGCTAGAAGAACCACACCTCTTTTGGAATATATTAAAAGTAGAAAATTAGAAAAGCAGGTAGGTCTGGCCTTTTACCCAGTGAATAGCCTTCTTGTTCCCATCATGTCTGTGCAGACAGTTTATACACATACTTTCCCCATCTTTAGAGAATTCGAGAAGAAAAGCGAGAAGAACGGAGGAGGAGGGAGTTGGAAAGGAAGCGCTTACGGGAAGAAGAGATAAGAAGGAGAAGGGAAGAGGAGAGATGTAAGAGGAGAGCAGCAGAAAAACAGCAGAAAACTGCTGAGAAAGAAGTAAGGAGGAAGGTAATTTTGAGGAGACATTTCATTTCTTTTTTCCAAAAATGGTTCAACCTTTTAGGTATTTTAGCTCTTCAGAACTTGCAGAACATTTTCATTAGTGTAGTCTTTCACTATTATAGTTCTTTTTCTCTGTTCTATGACAGTGGTTCTCAGATGGTGTTCCCTGAGCCCCAGGGCTTTCTTGAGCTTGCTGTGTTTGGGGGACCACATAGGTGGAAGAGTGAGCGAGGACCAGGTTCCTGGGTGTGACAGAAGCACTTCACCCAGAGGAGCCCACATTTAAATGTCGTAGGCTGGGCTTCTGCTTATATTTGCCTTTCAAGAAAGATTTCCTAACTAAAACACTACACATTTGAAACCCGCTGGCTTTGTGTCTACTGGCCTTTCTTTATGCTGACTGACTCATAGAACTGGGTTGTATCATTTCTTTTGTGGTAGCAGCGATGGTTTCTACGTCTCTTGCCCAATTTTTCCTTTGACTGATGCATTCATTTATGAGGGTGGTTTAATTCCCACAGAGGGAATTATCCTCTATGTAAAATTTATTGCCTAAATTGGGGTCAGCCCCTACCTTCTTAGTATTCTGCTCAGATAACTTTAAGCCTAGATTTCAACCTCATGTGAATCTTACCTCTTCCACAAAGGGTTTAAGGTGCCTTTTAGGGGTTCATTAACATTGTATAATATAAAGGAAAGAAATGGAAGGTCAGGACTTGAGGGAACAGAGGCAGAAAGGAAAGGAGAGGGAAGAGACCACAGTTGCCGTAGTTGAGCCGTAGATTAGTTTCTGATGTGCTCGGCAGTCAAAAACAGAAAAGTTGATCAGAAACGTAGTTTTCACTATCCATGAGGAGAAAGCATGCCATTTCTTCAAGGAAAGCAAAGCTTTTTCTAGGCGTTTGCTTCTAAAACGTTGTCTCCCGTAGGTGGTCCTATGGGGCTCACTAGCAATGGAGGGGATTCTTAACCATATTCCTGTGACACACACAGCCATCTGTGTCGATCAGAACTGGCTGGGCTATGCTGTAGTAAAAATGGTCTCAAGACCTCACTGGTTTCGTGCAGCTGAGGCTCTCTTCCTGTTCACATTACGTGTCCATTGTGCATTGCTCATCATAGCCATTCAGTGAGCCAAGCTGACGGGGCTCCATCTTGCATTTGCTCCCACAGTCGTTATGAAGTGGAAGGAGGTGTGTACAGCAGGTTGCACACTGGTTCTTAAACCTTCCACACAGAAGTGACAGGTCCCATGTGCCCACATTCCACTGGCCAAAACGCGGTGCACGTCCCCACCTACTCTCAAGCTGAGGGACATTGCAAGTGCTAGGAGGAAGACCTGGAATATCTGATGAACAGCAGCACTAATGAATAACATAACCTCTGAAGACTGTTGCTTGAAATGGCTCTTTTTAAGTTCAAGGATTTGCTGAAAAACTCAACCTGATGGAAGGTGTGGGCCAGGTCATGTTGCTGCAGCACATTTACTGCAAAGATAAAACCTCAGTGGGCAAGATGAGTAGGTAGCCGTTTGACCCGCAAGAAATCAGCCAGAGTGGTTTCCTTCATTTTGGCTTTGATGACAATTGTTACAGATCTATGTAGTTTTAAAATCTCATAATCTGTTAATAACACTGATGAAATTGAGGAGCCCAGTCAAGATTAAATGAAGATCGTCCATCCCACCTCTGCCAGGACATGGACCTAATAATGGGTGTAGCCAGGGTGTCCCTCTGGAAATAACTCTGAGAGTGTCCTCTGTTTGTCCATGTGGTTTAAGTATGAACACAGTTTTTCATAACAAAAGCGTAGCAGATATACTTCCTATAACAGTCATATGTAGTCTCAACAGTATAAACTAACAGCCCTTGAAAGATAATAAAATGAAACCTTAATATTACGGGAGGGCCTTCGTCATCTTGGAAAGACAGCTCTGTCATGACCAGGGGGCAAGTAGGTATCCATCTACAGGTATGCAAATATTGTCTAACCTTTTCCTTTACCTTTCTCAGCAAAGAATAATAGCACCTAATGCTTTATATTCTGAAAAGCATTTTTGTCAACAGCTTTGAGAGTTTTTCAAGAAGAATCATTAAAACGTGTAGCCTACAATTTTGCCTATAATTTTAAGTAAGACTTACAGTATTTGGAATATAGCATTTTATTTTTACATGTTTGAATATGGAATTAGAATCCAGAATAAACCAAAGACATAAAAGCAAATGATGTCAAAAAGTAACTGTGGGGCTCTTCATACAGAAACAAAGAAACCAACACAAACTGTGGGGCTCTTCATACAGAAACAAAGAAACCAAGTAACTGTGGGGCTCTTCATACAGAAACAAAGAAACCAACACAGGCACAGCAAGAGAAAGGCTTAGTCTTACTGAATCTGGTAAAACAGAATCCTGGTGGCAGGTTAGACCCCAGTGACGTGGGCCGCCCACAGCTCTGTCCTTCGAGTGTCTGGTGTTCTGACCTGACAGTACATATTTGACTCCCAGGGTGGCCTTTAGTGAGCGTCTGTGCTCAATTTGGGGATCTCTGACCTAAGATTCATCTAGAGAATTCAAATTTAAAAAAAAAAAGGAAAACCTAAAAAATAAAACCTGTAAAAAAAGCCCAAAAGAATTTGTATTAATACCCTAAAAGTAAAGAGGCAGAGAGAGGTCCTCGTGGCTGTTTTTAACAGTAAAGAAGAATATGATTCAAGGAGAGCCACCCAGTGGTTTATTTTCCTCTGAGACTTGAAAACTAAGCAGTGAGCTCAAGTTGAAGTAGGAAGTCAGGTTACCAAAGTCACAAGTAAAATTCCCGAATACTGTATATAAATTGTAGGCTATAAATACTGTTGTTATCTGAAAGAGTTGTGCGATCTTTTCCACGAAGCTCTTTAGAAACAGATGTGTGTGTGAGATAGGTTACACGCATGTAGAACAAGCATAGATGTGGGCTGCACGGGGACACTTGGCCTGACCGCCCCCCCCCCCCGGCTCCCCTCGCAGGGAGCTTCCCCCCCACCAGACTCACGCCCTCTCACGAGTGCCCCCCCCCCACTGTCTGGTCCCTGCCTTCCCTGACCCCCTTGAGAAACCATTCCCCCTCCTCCCCTGCCCCACACCTCATTGTCCTTTTAGTCTGTTTATCATGTGTTTGTAGCGTTTCATACCACCTGAGATTATCTGGTTCACGGCTTTCTATTTTTGTCACTGTGTATACCGTCCTCCCACCCCCATGGCCACCACCGCCTTGGCAAGACTATCAAGTGTGAGTCCTTAATTGTGGGCACTTGTCTCTTACCCGCAACTGGGTTCCTAGCCCTGAGCCCAGGGACTTTACCCCAGTTCATGGCACACAGCTGCTAAAACCCTTGTAATCTCTGGAGTGACAGGAGTGTCCTCTGTATGCTAATGAGCTGACAGGTGGCTGGGACCCTGGATAGCTTCAGGATGGGAGCTGCTCATCAGAAAGACCAGGCGTGATATAGCATTGGAACCTCCAGCCCCATCCCCACCTCTAAAGAGGGAAAGGGTTGGAGATTGAGTTCAGTCATCCATGGCCAGAGGTTTAATCAATAATGCCTGTGTAATGGCATCTCCATAAAAGTCCCTGAAGCGTGGGGTTTGAAGAGCATCCCAGCTGGTGAACACACGTATCCCGCTGCCAAGGGGGTGGAGCCGAGAGAGCCCTGTGCATCTCTCCCATCGGGCTGTGCCTGATTTGTATCCTTTATAATAAACCAGTAATAGTAAGTAAAGCACTTCCCTAAGTTCCATGAGTCAGTATCATTCAAGAGCCCCCTGAATTTATAGCCGGCCAGTCAGAAGTACTGGTGACAACCTGGGACTTGCAACTGGCCTCTGAAGTGGGGACAGTCCTGTGGGATCTGACATTAATTCCAGGTGGATAACGTCAGAACTGGGTTGAGTCATGGGACACCCAGCCTGTGCTGGACAGCTGGGGAGGTGGTGTTGGAAAAAGCTTTGGTTTCAGAAATATTGTAAAAACAGTTCATAGGTGCACAAAATTATTTGTTGGATGGATGGAGACTTATACTGTTGCACTGCCCTGTGGTTTGCATATATTAATTTTTTAATTAAAAAAAGATACACTGTTGTCTGAAAGGATCCCCCATAGGCAGGGAACATAGTCCACTGATGAGAAGCAGCTTGCAGCGTTTGCCTGACGGTCTATGTTTCATCCTTAAATGGACTCATTTAGTCTAGGTGTATCTGTGTGTAGTTTTTGTCTGCTGCAACTTACATAAGTTCACTTTTATAAGTGAGAACAAAATTCTCACAAGTAGACTTCGGTTCATGTTCTACAAACTGACTGTACCTGTGGTACTTAAAGTTCAAAGAGCAGGAACAGGGAGGAAGAGGCCTAATTTCATACGTAAACGAACGTATCATAGGAACCTTCTAAATCTGTTTCAAGAAAGAGAGTAATAGGTGTTTTTAAAACTATTCTCAGTCATTAATATAAAGCCATCCTTTAAAAAAATTTTTTTCCTTATTACCGAAGTAATACTTGTTCATTTTAGAAAAACTGGAACCTGTAGATGAAAGGAAAGAAAATAATTTCATTTCTGCCAACTAAAAATAATAACTCTTAACACAGTGTTGCAAGCCTTTTAGAGGTTTTTCTATGTCAGTGAATGAACATGCAAATAGAAATTAGATCATTCCACTTTGTAACATTCTTTTCTTCGTTAATATAATATCTTTTTTATCACATTATCCTAAATTGTTTTTCATAACTAGAAAGTATTTCATTGAAAGAATGTTCCCCTGTGTATTTAACCAAAAACCTGTTCATTGGACCTTTAGCTTATGTTTTTTTGCTATTCAAACATTTGGGCTCAATATTGGTGTATATTTTAAATTATTTATTAAATACCTTCTTTTATAATATA